TGCCAAGATCTAAAAATTTTATGCTAGTCGGTTAAAGAAAAAAAGAAAAATAAATAAATAAATAAAAAACGTATATCGCAACCAATTCAACATACAGTTACAACGTCAAGAAAATTTGGATTTTGACGCCTCAATGTCTCAAATATGATTTTGGCTTCATCGTAACGACCTTTCAAATAAAATAACATTAGCATACCAATGACAGTATACCAAATGATTATAATATATACTAATGATGTACTAAACATGAATGTTATAAAATTACCAAATTTTATTAACATCTGGCCATAACCATAGATTGAAAGCAAATGATTTTCATTATAATTGATGGCTTGTGTGTAATGGTAAAGGGCTTTGTTATGGTCCTCCTGAAAAAATGCGAAGAAAAAAAATAAGTTATGTGATTTCAGAAAAGTATAACAAAATCAGTTAATATTTAAATACCATAACATGATAGGCTCTAGCTTGATGAAAATGCGCTTCAGCCAGTATAGGCCTAGAATCGGTATGTTCTTCAGCACGTCTTGCAGCATCGATAAGCTAATCACGTGAACCAATAGATCAACAAATGAATTTATTTGACAATAAAAACTTAATAAAAATTTAATACGTTATTATGGTAAACGATATACTTTTTTTATTTATTTATTTATTTTTCTTTTTTTCTTTAACCGACTAGCATAAAATTTTTAGATCTTGGCAATTTTAGCTGCCAATACTGCTCTCGAAGAAACTGATCCAGCAAAAAAAATGAGTGCTTTCGAAGAATTTAATACAATAACGAGAGCTTTTTCAGATACCACATACGATAATCCCGAAATATTTATAGTCAGGGCTCATGCAATTGAAGGAAAAAATGCTTATAAAAGTCTCCAAGGTTAGTATACTAATTGTGGCAATACCCCAATGTATTTTTTAATATCACAATGTATTCAAATTTTATTTATTTTTATAAGCATGTAAACGTGCTGAAGAAATGTATAAAAAATCCGAAGAACCAATTCCGGTTGAACTTTTTAATAAAAAAGGCAACATGCTTTATAAACTTGGTAAGTAGATTATATATTTGTTTTGGAATTTTTATTAATCGTGCTCTTAAAAATTTGATATCATTTGATTTTTCAGGCCAGTATGCAGAAGCGTCTGAGTGTTATAGAGAAGCCTTGAAAAATTGCGAGGAACTTAATCCTTTGCCAACTGAAGTTAGAATAGTTCTTTTATATAATTTGGGACGTTCTTATGAATCATCACACAATTTTAGAGAGGCTCAGGATTTATATGATCAAATTATTAATGAACATCCTTCACATATTGAATGTATAATTGCCTTTTTTTTTCCTTCAGTTCTAGTCAATATGTTACCGTTTCTTCTTATATTAACGCATTTTTAAAATATTTTAAAGCTCATTTACGTTTGGCTGCAATTGAAGAATTTCATGGTAACTATGCAAAGGCCAATGATATTTATAATGAAATATTAGAATTTGACGAGAATAACGTCGAAGTTCGTAAGAGATTGGCCGTAAATCAACTAAGGCAGGGTGAACTCCGTGTATCTCGCAGAAGCCTTGATGTGATTCATTTAGAAAATAAAAATGATATAGTTGTCACAAGTGCGTTAGGTAGTTTGCACCTTTTCAAAGCTAGATTATTTAGGCAAGAAAAAGAAAAAGAAGCGCGTGAACAATCATATAAAAGGGCAATGGAATATTTTCAAAAAACCTTGCAGAAAAATCCAAGAAATGTATGGGCAGCTAACGGAATAAATGTTGCTATTGCGGAGTCGGGTAGATTTAAAGAAGCAAAAGAGATATTTTGGAAAGTAAATATTCACCAATTTATTTATTGCTATATTTGTGACGTGAGCAAAGACAAATATTTAACTTTAATATATATATATATATTTTTTTTTAGTTAAAAGAACGTAATCCTGTACCTGAAATCATTATTAATTATGCTCATGTGTGCAGTCAAATGAATGAACATAATGCAGCTATTCTTGCGGTAATTTTGGACTTTATTACTTTTACCAATCATAAGATATATAGTTTTAAGAAAATTGATAAATTAGTCGATTTTATAGTACGAAGGAGTTTCCAAAAAATCACAAAATAAGGATGTATCTGTGTTAGAATGGATTGGTCGTTCTTGTTATCTTTTGGCTAAAGAAACAAAGAATTTACAGAAAATGGATGAAGCCTTAGTTTGGACCGAAAAGGTATTCACCAAATAATTATTGTAATCCTGTTTAAGACGATTTGTAAAACTAAGTACGCATATGATGAATTTACATAGGCCCTAAGACTTGCACCAACAAACAAACTTATTGTACATAATGTCGCTCTCATACAACAAAGCAGAGCACAGTTAATTGGTGAACCAGGAGAGATGCGATCTTCAGTACAGTTGATGAGTGCCATTGCAGATGTCGAATGTGCACACCGGTTATTATTCTATTTATTTTTATTTTATTTTTACTTATTTATTTTTTATTTTTTGTTAAAATTAGCTTTTACTTTATTTATATCACAGTACTTTTGATCACCTACTTAATGATGGATCACCACATGTAAATTTTGATAAGGAAGTTTTAAATCAACGTATTAATTTTGGACATTCTACTGTGAGTTCGCTTAAATCAAAACTTGAAGAAGCATTGAAATATGAAGAAATCAGAAGAAAGAAAGAGGAAGAAGCACAAAAACGTGCAGAGAAAGAAAGACGGGAACAGGATCTGATTGCTGTAAATAAGTTTAATAATTTTTATATTAATGATTTTTTACGTATTTCATATTGACATTTATTTTTTGAAGATGGAAGAGGAACGAAAAAAAAGAGAAGAATTGGAAAAAGCGTTAGAGAATCAAAGGAGAATTGATCAACAATTACGTGAATATACTGAAAAACAAAGTGAAGTTTGGGGAGAAGAATCAAAAAAACGTAAAAGCAGAAAATTTATAGATTCTGATGATGAAGATGCAGAACCTTTTCATAAGGTTTGATGATTATTTTTGCTAGGGTTGTTAATTGAAATATCATACTCCGGTGCACAACATTTTAAACCAAAACCAGACTGGTGTAGTTATAAAATATAGAATATTCAAGTCAATTTACTAAACTGGAGACAAAACTAGTGTATTATATTAGAACATAAGTACTCCAAGCTGGTTTTGGTTGAACTAATTACAAACCAACCCAATCAATTAACAACCCTCAATTTTTGCACTAATAGTATATAAATTATTATGGGCGTATATTTAAGACTATAATCTTTTTTTATTATCTATATTTAGAAGGCGCATCTTGATAGGTCCTGAAAAGGAGTCGTCTAAATAGGGATAGTTAAAGTTTAGGTTTGGTTTAATAACCGTAGGTGCCAAATTAAACAAACCCAAGAACCAGGTTTTTATTAAGTTTTAAATCTAAGTTAAACCTGGTTTGTTTTGAGTCAAATTTTAAAGTCTGGTTCTCTATTTTGTGACATAAAAAATTATCAAAGAAAATATATTCAATATTAATAAAAAGTTGCTTAATTAATATCAAACTTTTAGAATATGTATATTTTAATCTTTTGAATAACTTTATTCAATATACTAATATTGTTTTATTTAATAAGATCGACTTTATAAATAAAGGGGTGGTAGATCATGAATATCGAGCTTAACGCGAGATGACCAAATAGAGTCTAATGATTTTTATACCATTCAATATGTCTCGCCAAGATGATATAAAAAATTCATTTCTAATCACATAAATGACCTTTTATTAATATAGAGTGAGTAGATACTTCAATTTTCGTTGATCCACCACTTTACCTCCTAAACAAAAAATTGACACTAATAAATGTTATACACAGTTTTAACTCGCTTTTATATTAAAGTTTTAAAATAAATTTAAGCATTACTATAATACTTTTTCTTGATGTATATTGTGATTTAGATTATTAATTTAACTTTTGTCATTTTGAAAAAATCATAAATAGAACATTTGATCAGTTTAAATTTTGGCCTAAATTAGGTTCAGCAATCATTGTAATGCCGGCTAAATCGATTAAGTTTCATTTTGATAGCGATAGGCCTAAATTACATTCTAAATTGAGGTGTTCTTGACTATTCTTCGATAATAGCCCAACTAAATTCAATAATTTCGATCTTTCAATTCTGTAGAATCAAAATAAAAATAAAAAATTTTTTTGAATCGAATGGAATATCTTCGCTCAAAGTTTTATAGATAGACGTTTTAATGTTTTCAAAACTTTGAGCGAAGATATCTGTGTAACCACCAAGCCAAATTCGATAACTTTTTTTTTTTTATTTGATTCTATAGATTTGTAGAAACTTGAATTGTTTTTATTTTGATTCCACAATCTATAAAAAACAAAAAAAAAAAATCGAACTTGGATGGATGGTTTCCCCGAGATGTCTTTGCTAAAAATTTTTTGTTGTGGCTGTTATTTTAATATATGTTTTATATTTTCAAACCTTTGGTCGACCATCTAGTCGAAATCGATAAATTTTTTTTTATTTTACAGATCTATAGAAACAAGATAAAAAAATTCATCAAATTTGAATAGATGGTTGCTGAGATATCTTTGTTTAAAATTTTATAAAAATTGTTATAATTGTTATTTGATAAATATTTTAATGTTTTTATTTTTATTTTTTTAAGGTGAGGTTTTGCTTTTATTTTTATTTAATATTTTGTATTGAGAATCTACTAGAGGTTTCTTTGGTGAGAGTCAAGTTACAAAAATTTTTACAAGAATGAGATTCAAACTATCAAAAACTATTAATCCTGATTCATCTGCAATCTAAACTTACTAAAGTGGTTAAAACTCATCTAGATTTGTTTGCACTTATACAAATTTAGATAAGTTTTAACCTAAATTGTATATTTGAATAAAATAATATAAGTATTAATTATTTATATTAATACTGTATATGTAAATATAAATAAAGTAATAGAGTATAATAAAGTTATAGTAAGTCAATTGTATAATACTGTATAATATAAGTAAAAAGTAGTAGAAATTTTTTAGTTAAATTTTAAAGTTTAAAATAAGTTATAATAATAGTATTAATTAATTAAAGTTTGTTACTTAGTAAATAATAATATTTAAAAATTTATTGTTAAAGATAAAATATTTGTTAAAAATATTAAGTTTGATAAAAATAAAAAGTTTAATTAATAAAAAATAAGAATTTAGATATTCTGATATTTTGAATTATAAAAAAAATGATTGATAGAAACTTAAAGTTTTCTGGTAATATATTATATGGCTTGTAGTAAGTAGAATTAATAGTATTTAGATTTAATTTGAAAGATGAGGATATTAAAAAATTATATAATATTGAAATATATTATAATTTTAGTAAGAATATATAAATTAATTGTTTTTGAAAAGCATTTTGGAAAGCATTTTTAAAATTACTGTAGTATTAGTAATAATGTTATTTTTAATAGCAGTAAGTAAAAGTGTTTAAAATAAGTATAGTTGAAAAAAAATTGATGTATAGAGTTATTAATAGTAGTGTTGAGTTGTAAAAATTTTTGTTTAGCTATTTGGGTTAGTTTTTTAAGTGATTTATATTGTTACAAGTAGATTGTAGCCTTTTTAATACAGCAAAGTAACAAAGCACATGGCTACAGAGATTCATAATGATAATGTAGTAGTGTGGAAGTAGAATATAATTTTGCTAAAGGCAGTTCATAAAAGTATTTAATTAAAGAAAGATATATTTCATTTACTGTTTATAAAGCTTTAATTACAAGAAAAAATTCTATAACTAAAGAGATATTTGTGTCTAATTCGAACTTATCTAGCAGGAAGGAGAAAAGTCAGAGTTTATATATCTTTTAGAAATAATAAGAAATAGTAGAAAAGGTAGAAAAGGTAAAAAAAGTAAAAAAAGTAGAAAAAGTAAGAAAGTAGAAAAGGTAGAAAAGATAAGAAAGATAGAAAAGGTAACTGTTTATTTGCTAATCTTGCTAATCTTGCTAATCTACTAATTTGTTAATCAATTAACTAATTTGTTAATCTGTTAATTAATTTGTTAATCTGTTATTAAATTTGTTTATCCATAATCATTTAAATATATTTAGGAACTCTTTCTGCTAATTCTCAATTCCAAAAATTGAAAAAACAAATATTCAAGTTTTACTCAAGAAATAGTCTAATCAACAACCTTTGAAAGACTAAGGAGAAAGGTTCAACAAGTTAGAAAGTGATAACTTACTTAGAACAGCAGTTGATGAAGCATCAAGCTGATACTAAAGAAAAGACTTTTGTGAAAATTTTCTAAAATTTTTTGAAAAATTGGGCAATTGCTTTTACCCTGAAAATTCAAACAAGAGGAACATATGACTAAAATTCTTGTTAACAAAACAAACAAACAAATAAACACATACTTTTTAGGAATATGTGGCAGTGCAACAAAATAAACAAAGTAAATAAAAGAAAAACTTTGTATATATAAAATAAACAAAACATATACAATATACAGAAAGTTCTAGAAACTGATGAAATCTGACAGAAGATTATCAGAAGAAGATAGTCTCCTTAAACTTGTGTAGAGAGCATCCGAAAAGGTATTTAGATATTTAAATAGTAGTGATTTAGTAGAAATTTTTCGTACATCTCTATACAAATCAGACAAAATAGATGCTCTTGCTCAAGATCTTATAGTACAAGATTCAAGCAAAGTCACAGCATATAAAATAATTTTATATAGCCAAATTCAAGATGTACTCAGAAAAGCAGAAAATTATTTACAAGAAAGCACAATTTAGCAATGGGCAGTTGGAGCTAGAATAGCAAGAACAAACCTGTCATCAATAGAATATATTACAGATATAAGTGAAGAAGAGATTAAAAAAGAAAAAAGTAAAATGGAGGGAATAGAAAAAGATGGTCTAGTAAAAAAACTACAATAATTAGGACCAAAAAAAAGAAGCTCTTATGAAGAAGAAGTCAAAGCAGATAAAGATATAAACCAAGTTATTAAACAGATGCAAGATTTAAGAATCAAAACTGAACAACAAATAGCATCAGACTGTTATCTAATAGAAGAGTCACAAGACACAACACAAGAAGCTTCTTCACAACCCCAAACAAACAATCAGAACAACAAACCTATAAAAGATTTAGAAAGAGAAAACAATAGAGAGAATACAACAACAGAAAAAAAGAGAATGAAAAAAGACAAAGAAGCTCCGGTTGAAAGTATTCTTAAGGACACAATCTTACAGTACCAAAAAAAAACAAAAGTCATCAAATCTCAATTGAATAATACCCAAGCAGAGGAGAATAGTTTATAAGTTTTTACAGGTTATCAGAGAATAGATTATGTGAAGATGATTAATTATTTTTGGCAAATATACCAGTATATAGTCTCCAAGGAAGCTCAGCAGAAGAAAGAGCTAGATACGTTAAGAGAATTGTTAGTCAAAATAAATACATTAAGAAAGTCACAAAAAAATTCAAAGATAGAAACCCCTGGGTGGAAGACTGTGACTTTAGAAGAAACTTAGCAATTGAAAGAATTAAGAAAAAAGAAGATGACTAGTTGATTTTAATTCCAGAGAAAAAAAAAGATACCAAAATGAACTGAGGGAATCAGGACAAAAAGTTAAAAGGAAGACATTACTTTCACGAAAGAAATGAAATCTCTAAAAGAAAAACACTTGACAAAGAGAAAAACATTCTCAATAATAATGAAAATCTTCATGGAAAAAAGAATCAAACGATAAGGAAAACTACAATCATAAAAGATATATAAATATAGACTGCATTACAATTTGGGATCTACCAGTAAATATAAAAACACAAAAAATCAAGTATATATGTAAAAAACTAGAAGAGATAAAAGATATGTATATTAAGTGAAGAAATGGCAAAGCATTCTCAGTAATAGAATTTACTATAAAGATAGAAACTAAAGATATACTCTAGGCTCTTCTAATAAATAATAGAAGATTGACTAGGATATTAAAAAGGAAAGAA